GGCCATAGGGGGGTATTTATAGCCTCCTTAGACGATAACTGAAGAAATAGCCGGTCAATAACTGTCTCTTTAGGCGCGGCAGCTGATGCTGTCGCGGCTAAAGGGCGCGACAGTCGACAATGTCCTCGCGTTCGAGACAGCCCATACTTACGTTCTTCTGCCTTTTTTGGATGACATCCTTTTTGAGCTGTATTCGGATATCTTTCAGTATTTTTTGACGTCTACATCTGTGGTCATGGGTACGACCCCATCGTATTCATTGGAGTCCAAATTGGGAGACTGCAAACGCTCTGCAGGTGTTCGACGTGAGGCCTTAAGGAGAATCATCGGCAGGAATCCCCTTCCCCTTCAGTTCTATGTTTCTGAGGGAGAAGAGCTTAATGTGGAACCCACCACCCTTCAAGGCCATAACTCGGATTACGTATTTTACTAGCAGCCCAAGAATAGAAAGAAACAAGAGGCACCCTGACAGTCCCCTCAAAGTCCAGCTCAGGGCCCGTAAAGGCTCTTCCTCAATTCACAAATGATAACTGCAAAGGCATATTATGTTATGCAACATGTTCTTAAGGTGCACATCTATGTTTTCAGTCTCTTTTCTTGCACTTTCAGTTGCCCCTCTACACGGTTTTTCTGGTTTTACTTCTTGGTTCTGGTCCTTTTGGTTGTGGAAGGAGTTGTGGTGTTCATATCGAACCAGATATCTATGTGTATCCTATAGAGGATCAGTCCACTTTGCTCTGGATAAGGGCAAACCAGGTTTTATAAAAATTACTATAGCAGCAATACATAAGCAATCTGAGCATAGGTATGGGCCTGGAAAAAGAGTTTTGGTGCTTCCTATTTGTCTGGTGTTGGATTTATGTTGCCATGGCATGTTTTGGTGGTAGTTTTGTGTCGTTCTTGCAAACTCATTTTGGGAACCTGATGGTGGCTTTCAGATACACGTAAGGGACTTGATTCTTGGGTTTCGGTTTAGTTTTTTGCTGCTGGTGGTGGTATTTCTGCAGTAGTGGCTGATTGACATGGCTCTGATACCTTTGATGATGCTTGTATACACTCAAATTTGGGTACACAGGATAAAAGGGCTTCCGTTTAATTCTTTGGCAGAGGTGCATGTGGTTCGAGACTATGATTTCCAAGTTGGATTGTCTTATTTTGGGAGACTTGTCTTTTGTATGATAATGATGAAATCACAAACTTTCTTTCCTTTGTATCAGTCTGGTTGTTTCTTCAGGAGCTCCATGAAAATAGCTCAAAAGTTTGTTGTTATTGTTATGAAGGTTAGATATAATTTTGTACAAGTGAGGGGTGTCTCACTTCATGATATATTTGCTGCTTTAGTCTACAGGAGGCAAAACCATGTAATTTTCTACTATTAATGGAAGCTATATTTTTTTGTTAAAAAAAATCCCCGTTGAAGACGAAGAGATCATCAGGAAAAACTACATGTTTACTTGAATGTCAACAGGAAAAGTTAATGCTTAACATGTATATTTGACAAGTTATAATATTTAGTTACATGTTATCATGTTATAAAGAAGCTAACATGTAATAATAAAAATTAACATATTATGCTGAAAGTTAACATATTCAACTGATAGTTAGCGTGCAAAGATGAAATATAACATGTTCGTAAGAAAGTTAACATATACAGATGAAAGTTAACATATACAGATGAAAGTTAATATATACAGATGAGAGTTAACATGTTCACGTGAACGTTAGCATATAAACCTGAACGTTAACATATACACCTGAAAGTTAACATATACAGATGAGAGTTAACATGTTCACGTGAAAGTTAACATGTTCAGATTAAAGTCGATATTTTTAGCTTAAATTTAATATATTCAGCTAAAAGTTAACATTTTCACTTTAAAGTCTACAAAATTTGATATATTTTGATATATGCAAATAAGTGACCAAAAATCACATGTTATATCTGTCAAATGTACATGTTAAATATTAGCTTTTCCCGTTATAGAATACTGCTGAAACTCAAAGAAAGATTATCTGCGATGTCGTTGCCCCTTTTTCGGAGAATGATGGACGTTGGGATTAGACCCAGCATACCCACTTTCTTGAATGTTAACTTTAATTGTTACATGTTAACTTTTATCATTATATGTTAACTCTCCTTGTAACATGTTAATCCAAAGTTAAAACAACATAAAAAAATGGAGACAAACATATGCCTCATTGTACCAACAGACGTGTATTAGAATCGACGCATTAAAACTTAAAGAATAAGAAAAACTCACTAAAGTAAAACTTGCTACAACTTCTCATGATATCTTAAACATATGTAAATCGTTCAAGCCCACAATTATGGGTTATTCTTCTACTCAGTTTCGAGTACAACCACAAAAAAATAACTAACAGATCATAAGTTCTCACAAGTTCAGACATATTTTCTTATACAAATATCTTACAAAAACCATTCCAATCTTCATGCAAATCTACAAATTTTAGTATACAGACAATCTTTAGAAAGAAGCTGAGTTTGATCTTCGCAGTTGATGCTTTGGTTCTAATGACAGCACAGAATGTAATATCGTCCTCTTCTTCAAGTCGTGAGACCTTGATCTCCAGTTCATTGGTGTATATCTATCCATTACAAAAACAAGCTTATCTCAAAACACAACACATTCATAAGATGAGAAAAAGTAATCATTCTGAGAAAAAGTTAGCATGTTATGAAGAAAGTTAACATATTATTACGAAAGTTAACATATAACAGTGAAAGTTAACATATTATGATGAACGTTAACATGTTTAGCTGGAAAGTTAACATGTTACGAGAAGAGTTAACATATAATGATGACAGTTAACATGTACCAGTTAAAGTTAACATAGGATACATGTCATGTTCTTGCTGATCATGAGATTTGACAGACATTCTATGTTCTCATGAGATTTAACATTAATCAAAATTTTACTTATTTTGCCACAAATAAGAGACAACCAAACCGTCTGGTTAGATAAATAGCACAATTATCGGCTGGAGCTTTTAGATGTTATAAATGTTGCAGCACTGGATTCACAAAGGTAACGTCAGCTGATAAAAAACTTGATAAAATAAAAATTCCAACCCATTGCAAAACACAATCTTGCAGTTAAGAACACACCCAAAAGAGAAAATTAGTAGCAAATTCTCAAAGTAACAAATGAGCACAGCAAAACAAATGATTTTTTTCTTCTCATATATAATGAACAACGAAGAGATGATGGTTAATTCCTTAGAGGGCTGTGGTCCTGGGGACATAGACTTACATTGGTCATACCATAAAGTCTCAAGACTCCCAAACAAAATTTTACATGTTTATGTGTAATACTAATCTTATTACTTCAGTGAAGCAAAATGAAAAACAACTGGTGTGCATGGCACAAAAGAGCCACAAGAATCAAACACACATACATAATCATAGGAAAGTGGGTTACGCCATGAACCTGCACCTATAAAACCACTCAAAGGAAAATAAAATTCAAGAACTGAAATAATTAATCACTCACTTGATCACCATCTTCAACGTTAATACACTCCCCCTTCGCACACTTCATTTGCCTCCAAATCTCCGATGCCTTGAACTGAAACTCCTCCCTGCTAGCCAAACAACAAACTGAATACAGTAAGTCTCCATCTCTCCTTGGCACTTTGGTCACCACTCCCTTCCACCAGACTCCGTTGTAGAACGCATCGACGCACTGGTAGAGCTCGAAATCAGTAGCGAGATTCGCCGACGGAGGCCGCGGCCGTATCATAGTGTGAAGGGTCTCCTCCTCGAGAGGCTTGAGGGGTATGAAATGTTCAGCGATGAGAGTAGAGTAGGAGACGATGGTCGATCGTTGGCCGGCGATTGAGAGGATGATGACGAAGGACCGGGTGACGTTGGAGAGGGTCTGGTCGAAGTAGAGGGCGACGGTGGGAGGGGGAAGGGGAGGAGATTGAGAGGATGATGAGGGAAGGAGGAGGGGAAGAGTTGTAACCAGATTGAGAGGAGGGGGAAGGGGAGGAGATTGAGAGGATGATGAGGGAAGGAGGAGGGGAAGAGTTGTAACCAGATTGAGAGGAGGAGGAGGAGATTGAGAGGAGGAGGAGAAAACCACAGAGAAGAAAAAGATAAGTGGGGTATTTTCGGAATGTTTGGGATGTATTCATGGGAGAGTGTGAAAAGGAGGCTGAACACATTTTTTGGGACTTTATGGGATAAAGAGTAAGGGAAAAAGATGTGTGGGTGGGTGTGTGTGTGGGTGGGTGGGTGGGGGACATCCCCTTTATTTCTTTCTTTGAGGCCTAAACACAATTTTCTCTTTAAGTTTACATTAGGGGCTGTTTGTTTGCGATTTGGGTAGGGAGAAAGCCTGCCAAAAGTGCAGCTTTTGACAGGCTTTCCACCCAAATCGCCTCTTTTAGAGACGATTTGGGTGAAAAGTCTGCAAAAAATTACACTTTTGACAGGGTTTTGACAAGCTTTCCAGCCCTTTCCCTCTGAAAAACCTCTTTCCAAACAGACCTTTTAATAGAAGAAAAGATCCTACAAATTAGCACTGTCATTGATTTCAGTCTGGAATTTCTTCGATTGCTTAAGCTGATTTGAGTTAGTATCACAAAATTTCAATTGCGTATTCACTTGAAAAAGATTCAATCAATTCCATACCGACCATCAACCGTGCTAAAACTTTTGAATGAACTGTGTACGCTTTAGTATAATGCCACAGCAGACTCGACATGAAACGGCTGAACTCAAACAACCTTTTAACCAAAATATCAAATGGATGATATGGGTACACAAATTCTTCATCCACACCTAAATGTTTCCGCAAAATTTACGAGTACGGTGAAGGTAAACTACATATCTAAGAAGTTGTTTGAACGTTCCAAAAAATAAAAAATAATACTGAACATCTCGTCTATCTCAAAAAAATTTACTAGCAATCAATCCAAAGAAAAACTTAAATCTATAATTCAAGGCAGATGTGAGTGTTAACAAATCAGTAGGTCAAAAATTTGAGTTCGACATGTAAATAGGAAGTGAATATCTAAATTCAGAATTTCAGGCAAATTAAACAACCTTTTGAAATGAAACAAGATGCTGGGTTCAGGTTGAGAGCCATGTTGAGCGGCACAAAGCTTCAGAAGAGCCACCTATAATGCAATCAAGACAGACACAAATCCCCTCTTCAGTAACTTGGGTAACAATCAACATTTGAAAAACAGGTTCATAAATATTAAAACCATCAGGATGTGGTAACTTAAGTTCGTCATAAAACTGATAACCATTGAAATCGAATCTCAGGATGGAAACAAAACGACTATGGTAACTTTTAAGACTTCAGACGCTAATGTTTCCCCCATCCCCCATATGCTGGCCAACTCCGATAATGGTTTAAATCTTGTTGAAAGCTACAATGTCGCAACTTTGAATGTATTCATTTGCAGGTTCAACTGTAAGACGCTCCTCAATAAGGCTGTCGACAGACACAAGATCATCAATGATGGTCATCATGATCTGCAGCTTCTTTATGCCATAACCAACAGCCACAAGTTTAGCTGCATATACATGAAAATAAATACAGGAGTAAGAAAGTCAATAATCTAGTAGTAAACAGAAAGAGGAGAATCAAAGACGCAAAGCTAAAACAGCTTACATGCTCCCCACAGAAGGCCTGGCATTTCAATGCTACGAACCATCTCCTCCAGCTTCTTCATGTCAGTTTCATCGTCCCAAGGTTTCACATCAAGAAGAACCGATGATTTTCCACCTGCAAATCAAGGCAGCAAATAATTCACAATCACAAAATTAGGATTCAAATGCGCAACAAAATTGGGAGGGGGGGAAAGCTGTGAACCAAAGAACAATAAAATACTCACTTTCTTTCTTCTTTGAAGAGGCCTTCTTAGCAGCCTCACGCTCTTCTGCTGCCTTCTTGTCCTCCTCTGTCTCATCACCAAACAGATCCAAATCATCATCATCATCACCAGCATTCTCCTGGGAATACATAATCTATATTCAGTAACAGGTAAGCAACCATAGGATATTTCTAATATTTAATCAATGTTTCGGACATGTTGACTGGTCCCATTCATAATCGTTACATTATCGACACCAATCAATGTTCCTGTGAATCCAAACCGTACATTTTCCATTCATACAAACCTTCCATTAGTGAAATGTGTTGATTGTTTAAAAAGGATGGCCAGATTCAGAAAAGATTAAAAAATCAAGATAGATGCACAGCCATTTACTTGACTTTCAAAAGGTAGGCATGAGAAATGGGAGAAAAGTTTGTGCTACATTTCTAGTCTAAAATCAGATACTGCCGATGAAGAGAAGAAAACTGGAGTCATGTATAACAGAGATCAAATGGCGGAAAAACAGCTTCAAACCATCGGATCTTCAACAATTCGTCTGATTTTTCTAATCTAGGATAATATAAATTCAGACTTAGAAGATTAACTGGGAGATGTACAAAAAATGTCAAAGTAGATGGAAGTTGCTTGATGATCATTTTGGATTACTAAATTTTGGGCAACAGCTCTTATACTTCCCAAATAAAATAATGTGGAAAAGCCAATCAAAACATCAGGGCAAAGGAAATGGAACCTAAAACATACATTTACTATTATGGTACATATTGAACAAATTAAAAAAGTAAATGGATAGCAGACCTTAGGAGCCTCGGAAGTAGGAGCAGGAGCTGCAGCTTGACCACCAAATCTCACTCCAACAGCCTGGCCAGGAAATCTGGCAATTAGACAATAGATTATTAGAAACTGAATGTAGCAGAGAACAATTACAAAATAACAAGTGTTCAAGTTGATGAATATCTGGTTCCTTTTGATGAATACCTGGTTCCTAGAAAGAAGATACTAGATTCCATTGAATACCAATTTCCCCTTTACTAGTTGAATGTATTACACTTTCTTCTGTTTTTGAAGTTGTGCAACAACAGTAACTTTTTGATGAAAATCCTGGAATTGGAATTTCTTTAATTTCTAATAGTGATTTCCAAATTACATAAAATGTTTTAGTGCAACTGCAGTTTTTTACACTTACCCAAATACAAGGCACTGGCTCACATCCGACAGGTACAAGTACAACTACCAACTTCCCAGTTATAGCTAACCAAAGAGAACACAGTTAGCACTGCTACGATGTGTGCTATTTCATTATTCAGTTCTAAATTTAAAGTTGCGCTTCAGACTGGATATTGCAACTGTCCAACCCTAACAAAAGCCTAATAATTTATAATATATAGGAATAATAGCTCATCTGCTTAAGTGTTCCTTATCATCCTTCATTCTCTTTTCCCAGGGATTCTAATCTGATGAGACAGTGGGGGCGGGGATATGTTATTTAAGACAACAAACACAACTTTGAGGAATATTGTGGAATTAGAACTACAGCTTCTTGAAAAGTAAATTCCAAAATTGACAAACTACATTTAGCCCCAATCACGGTCCATTACACAAATACAGACAGCATGGTTTTGTTTAATCTTATAATAATTGCAAAAAGTGGATAGTATCTATAGCTGACCAAACATGACCTAAATAGGTGCTACTCAAAACCTAAGCATATTTCAATTTTCAGTTTTCAATTTTCAGTTTTCAATTTAAAAGTGGTTATGTGCTGGAATCATAACTATACACCCTATAAAACCTATTAATTAAGTGAATATAAGAGAAGTTGTTTGAAGGATGAGCTGTAGGAACAAGATAATATGTAATTTTACTCTTTGTTTCTCTCTTGTTTGGGTGGATAAGGAATGGGAAGGAGAGAATTTTCAGAGGCAACAGTTTGTAACTAAAATAAAAATAATAAAAGAACTTCTCAGTATTCGTTGCTTCTCCATCCTGAGTAACGGGAAGGCCTACCAAGTAACAAGTCACAAGTAACATGTCCTCCATACAACTAACTCAAAGAATTCTGAGCCAACTTTAGCCAAAATTTTATGCATATTTTTCTTGTAAAAATACCACCACCACCTACACTCTTGTTCGTGATATAAATGCTTAGATGTTTATCTATGTATGACTATCTAAAATCAACTGCATTATAAACTACAAATGATGGACTTTGAAGATCAACCAATGGGATATTTTTTTAAGATGGGTTTCAAATATTCTTTGGGAATTCATCAATAGTTTATTGAGATAAGATCACCGTGTAGACTAGTAAACAGTCCAGACTCACTCTGAAGAGTTTCTTAAGGTGTTTTATAGTGGTAGATTTAGGGGACACACAACCATTGTGGTCGCCTTAGGCAAGACTTGCTTCTATCTATATTAAACTGAAACTATTATTCAGATCACAATGAATCTGTAATTGTCTTTGATTCTAACTCGTAAGTGCAACCACAATCTAGATCCAACCCTTGACAGCAATTCACTGCACAAGATAAATCG